ATCGTCAAGTCGTTTGCCCGCATCCACGAGACTAATCTGAAGAAACAGGGCATGCTCGCCCTGACATTCGCCAATCCCGGTGACTACGACAAAGTACAGCCATCGAGTAAGATTTCGCTACTCAATCTCAAGGACTTGGCACCCGGCAAGCCCGTGGATGCTGAGATCAAGAACAATGGTAGCTCTGACAAAATCCAGTTGAACCACACCCTTAACGAGCTGCAAATTCAATGGTTCCAGGCCGGAAGTGCCTTGAATCTCATGAAGGAGCTGTCCGCCAAGGGTGGCGATAAGAAATAGTTTTCATCAATATTAATTTTACTAAATTACTATGTTTTTATCTCATAAAGAGCATAACCAGTACTTAATAGTTTAAGTTGGCAACCGGAAGATAAATATACCCTTGTACAATTATTCCGAAAATAAATCAACTTTACATAAACCGCAGGACACTATAATGGTCCGAACTTTAATGCCAAAATGGCACATGAAATTCCGAAAAACTAAGCCGAAAGCCAAAATAATTCAAAACTAATTAAAATCCATTTAAAATTGCACCCAGCCTGCAATGCAGAAAAATAATAATAAATTTTCCGACTTAAGCTGCCCAACTTTTTTGTCAACTGAATGGTTGCCTGGGTGGAGCAGTGGGTGAATGGGTGGTCCAGGGTGGTGCAGATTGGGGGCAGAGTGGTGCAGTGTGGGGCAGAGGGACAATAAGCGACGCTTATCAACGGTGCCAACCGAAACTGTCACATGCATTGTCATTGTCACAGGGGCGGGTGGCTCAAGGGGCTCAAATGGGGGTTTTCCGAGCAGAGGCCGTGCCATATTTGCATTTTGCTTCTCGCTCAGACACAAGTCTGCTTGTGCGTAAGTGTGTGTGTGTGTGTTTGGACGTATGTGAGTTGGCATAGAAAATTATTTGCTACTTTTAATTAGTGCCAAAAAGTCATTCACAAAATCCAGGGAGGAAGGAAGGCACCCAGTGAAATAGCTATAAGAGGAGGTAGTGCGCCTGCAGAGCGAAAGGGACCGCTATGGGGAAGGCGAAAGAGACAGGCAGAGGATATAGGAGAGCACAAGTTCACCGAGCAAGTACAAAAATGTCTATATATATCTGTATGCCTCTCGCTCTGCGAACTGTCACTGCTTTTTGCGGCAATATTTGCACAGCCTCCGACTGAATGAGCGGTTCGTGAATGTGGTGTATGTGGCAATACAGTGCGTTTCATCGCAATATGGCATCAGAAAATCGGCATACAAGGCGAGGTTTATACGCGACCATCTATTATTCAGTTTACAGTATTCATAACTCGTTATCTATTTAAAGCCAAGTTAAAAGAACAAATTGTTGAATTAATTATGGTATAATACGTTATTACTCAGATAATACATATTTAAAAAAGAGTTCCATCAATTGGATAATTATCACTCACTAATGTGTCAACTATTTAACATGGTTTCGAAGCATTGCGTGTTTTAATAAAAACTGCTATATTAAATAGTTAGTCAGGCGACCATTGATTATCGGCTGATAATGTAACAATTAACAAAATATCCAAATAATTTGCGCTCCTGTTTCATGATGAAAAATTGCCTGCACCAAACAATAAATTTTAATAAGCAATTAATAATTACTTATCAGTAGCTAAAAAGGTTAGCAATCACATAAAGTCAACTGTTGTTTAATAAACCATTTAGCTCACCTTTTATTTTTTCAATGCACCGTTCGCCCCAAAGCAGCAACAACCCCAATCAAAAAAGCCAACAAAAAAAATTATAGCAATTTAGCCCGGCCTAAAACCGAAAATGTTCAATTATTAACCCGTAATGTAGGATGTGTATGGCTCAGGGAGTCCAGTTGGTAAGAAGTCTATATATAGACTATGATTTTTGTCAAATTGCATTCAATTTGGCCAGAGCTCGGACAGGACTCTTTTGTATCCTGGCTGCCACAAGCATTTGTATTTGTATCTCTGTATCGGCTGGATCTCCTTCCGCCTCTCCATCTCTTTCGCTCCAATCGCCACCCGTCTCTTTCTGTGGCCAAGTGCATGGCAAATGTCACACATGCAATTCAATTTGAATTTACAATATTTCTAGCTTCAAATGCAGGCATGTGGTTGCGTGTGTTCAGCTTGCCAGCCAGGCACTTCATATATGTCTTGGTCTGATGCCGTCTGCCTTCTGCCGTCTCTCTCTACCGCATTCGCACTATCTCTGTCGCTCACTCCCCGATCTGTTTGTCATTTGCATACTTTGCACTTAAGTGAATTTAATCTTTCTCTTCGATATTTTTGCTGCCCGAAGCTAGCTGAAAAATGTGTTTATCTTTTGTATGGATTTTTAATGTCATCTATTGTATCAAGGTCCAATGCACTACCATATTTTCTTACCCACTCTTGTTATTCCTGTTCCTTGCTTTGTTTATTTTATTAAAATTTTAATTGCTTTTTGGAAAATGTTTTGTCAATGCGTAGACGCAGCAACAACGAGTTCATTGATATACAGCGATGAAAACGGAAACATTCTAGATATTTTTATGATACACAAGCATGTATTTTACCATTTTCCTTTTTACTTGGCTGGGTAAGAACGGATTTTCGATTGAACCGGCATTTTTAGCAAGTTTGTCAGTTTTGCCTGTCTGTTAAAACGTAAGAGAATAATGGGAAAAAGTCTATATTGAAGAAAAATGTTGAAGGTTTACAATACTTCTAGAGCTTTGGCGGAAGCCGGCAAATTTATATTCATAAAAATATTCTCTGTGATTGATTGTTCTACGCATCAATTGCAATTTATTCCATAGTTATGAAAATTGGTATTTGGAATTTTGTATTTTGCTTTATTGTTTCCGACAGTTAGTTCAATGCAAAAATGTATATGAAATACATTCCTTGATTAACTCGATGTTATATTTGAAATTGCAATCATATTTCCATTAACTACTTTAGCAAACTTATATCGACTCTAATTGTTTGGGGGCCTTTAAATAAGCCTCCTTCTCTTTGCGCTCTTTAAACTCCTATAAAATGATCGAAATAACCCCCAATATGTATAAACACCTCCTTTCCCAGATTAGGTCGCCATTTGCCAAGCTACAATAAGAAAATTACACGCTTGACTCGAACCGATAAACGTAAATCACACACAAATGACAACTGCCAATAACCTCGCACAAGTATCCAAAACAAAAGAAAACCGCAAAAAATAAGATAAATTTGAAAGCAGGAACACAAACAAGCAAAAATCGAACGAAAATAAAATGAAACTCGCTCTCAACACATAAATTGCATTTTGGCCGCTGGCGAGGTAAACAGCCACAAATGCCACATGAAAATAGAAGAAAAACCACAGCGATAGAGCGGGCGGGAAAATAAAGCAAAACTTGACAATAATCGAAAAATTATTTCCACACATTGTGTGCTGGCTGAGTAGTGGAGGCGGCGGGGGCGTGTCAAATCAAAGAAACAAATAAAATGAGGAAAAACAAGGGAAAATCCACAGTGCACATAAACCGGTGGCAAAAGAAAAGAGCACGAATTAAGTTAAGCACTTTTATTTATTATTAAAAAAGTTTTCATCTGGCAGGGAGTAGAAATTGTACAAGGAACACACACATACACACACACACACCGAGGGTGTGGCGAGGGAGAATCAGCTAAATCTGCACATAATGCTAAGAAAATCCGGAATTTATCGTACCACTTAGATGGAGTATCATATCTTTGTGTTTTTCCCCGTTTCAAAGGGGTTAAAGTGCGCACTATGAGCACAATAACTGTGGTCTAAGTTTGAAAGTTTTAAAAATAGTTGAATATATTATTAATATATTATTATTTGGTTGTAAGCACACATAAGGTATATAGCATTTGTATAATATTTTGTAAAGAATGCTATACAAAAATATACACAAATTCTTGTAATGTTAAAGTAGCACTACATAAATCAAGATTTTATACCCTTTTTTTCTTTTTTTAAATTGATTTGATATGCCACCCCAAAAGATTTCTTATATCTGGAAAGTAAAAATGCAGCTTATTTGAATGACTACCGCTACCACTGTTTTCCCAGTGCTTGTGCATTCATAATATAACTGTTGATTATTTCGCCAACACGCACTCGACAAAAGTGAAGCAGCAACAGCTTCAGCAGCTTGGACTGTGAAATCTGCGAGCAGGAATCTGGCAACGTGGCGTATGCGCAATATTATTAGATATTGAAAGCAGCCATCGATGATGATGGCTAAGTGCTGCTCCGCTCGCTCAGCCCACCCTTTCCACAGCCAAAAAAAAAAAAAAAAAATTCGAAAGCAATTGAAAGCAGCCACAGCAGCAGACATATGAATTTTTTTTTCTGGCTCCCTTTAGCACTCGGAATCGAAATAAACCTCCTTTAGTCCTGGCAACCCCGCTCATCCCTTCGCATTCATGTACTTGGAGCATGTGTGAGGTGGGGGTTATGCGATTTGGATTCGGATTTGTCTGTGGGCGTGTCTTTGGCGGAAAGCTATGCGGCTCCATGGCTCCATGGCTCCGTGGCTCCTGCAGATGAAGCTGTATTAAATCGATGGCAATGTGCTAAATGTGTGGCAGATTATTTATTAGTGTAATGGCTTTAAATTTGCCAGCGCAGATGCTCAAATCAAGGATGCTTTTCTCTCCGAGATTTATGCTTGTGCTTCGTAAATCGGGTATGGCTATTTAAATATTACGAATAGATGGAATTTTTATACGTTGCCAATGAGTAGAAAATTATTGAGTGTAAGACCCAATGCAAATTTTACATGGTTTTGAGAAAGCTTACAGCTTATGAAAATTATTTATGTCTCATATTTACAAATATATTATAGAAATTAGCATTGATATCTTATATTATGTTACTTTTAGACTTTTTTTTTTCTATATGAAATATTATTACGTGCATATTAACTTCTTATTTATCTTCGAAATATGTGAATGTTTCAATAACGCCATAATATGTATATTTGCGCTTGTTCAGCATGAACTTTCTACTTTTCATATACGTACAAAAAGGTTTATTTTCTGAAATTTACAGCACGGTCTTCAATGGAGCTGGTAATATTATACGTGCCAACAGCAACATTATCCTTATAGAAAGTGAAAGAGTGTCGACAAAGGCCGCGACTCATTATTACTGGCCAATTTGTAACGTTAATTGTAACATTTTTTAAATAGTATCTTCCTTTGGGAATTAAGCAAGTTGTTGTGTTTATATATAAATCGGTGTTAATGCCATATTTGACGCAGTCCCTCAAATAGAACCCGTATTTTTCATAGACTGCACAGACTGCATCACGTAAAAGTGCCATAGGAAATTTCTTATAGTTGCCATCGCGAGCCACATTGGTGTATGCTTCCAAATAAAATTCATAATGTTCATTGTCAATATCCTCGAGAATATCAAAAGTGCCATTCAAAATACGCTCACGACCAAGCACTCGAAGATTTGAAAAATCAATTGGAAATGCGTTCTCTGAACTGAGCACTGATACAAAAAACGCCTCATACGACATTGTTCTCTGGAACTAGAGTTCTAAATAATTAATTTCTCAGATTAAAAAAATGCATAATCCTTGTATAATTACCAATGACTTCGGTATCACTGCGAGTAAAACAAACACTGTATATTTCAACATCAGAACAGGAGGTGAATTTAACAATTGAAACTCATAGTCAGTTGTAGTTTTCATATTTATAGAAAACGTTTCACTTAATCCTCTTTAACGTACGTTAATCTAACATGTTTTAATACATTTATTTAATTAGAGATTATAAAACACATTAACTAAACACGAAATAAGCATGCCATTAATTATAAATAGAGCGTATATAATGTTTTCATTCGGATTTCAAAAAGTACACAAGCAAATTCAACAAAATTTATCAGAAAAATTATCGAAAAGTACAGAATGCCATGCCTTTAACCCTTTAGCATCAATGTTAGCAACTTATCTGTCACACTCCATCTGCACAATGGAATTGCTTCCATAGTATTTTCCAAACTCATTCGCCCCTTGCAGCTTCTAATCTTTTTAGCCATTTGGCTATTTTCAATTCGTTTTACCCCGTTCGGGTGCTGTTTTATCTGGCCACTTTCAAAATCAAATCTTACAAATTCACAACTGACAAACAAAAAAACAAAAATCCGAGAAAAATAAGTGCGAAAAACCAGCAGAAGCCGAGAGTAGAGTAGTGCAGAAAAGGCAAAACGAAAAATCTAATAAAAGAATAGCTCAAAATCGGTGTGTAAAAATCAAATAAACGCTGCAACTGCAACGGCAGCCACTAAAGGGAAATCTTGCCCCCAGCTGAGTTTTCTCTGGTCGGGAAAAAGTTTGTATTTCGCCTTGCGCCAAGTTTTGTGCGTTTTTAAATGGCCCAAGCTGTGCTGGCCCAAACAAAAACCAAGAGGAAAAGCTAGGAAAACCATTGGAAACACATGTCCAGCCAGCGGACGACGACAAGAGCCATGGATCTGTGCAAATGTTTGTGAGCTTGGATTTCTTTTCGGTCATTACATTAAGTTGGCTATCTGTGAAGATTCGCTGCTGCACAGCCACACAAACTCCCCGATATCCACATAAGTGGTATTTGTGCTTGTGCTTTCTGATTGTGCTTTCTGCTCTTGCTTGGACCTCCAGATGGGGAGCAACGGCTGCTCCTAATGGTCAACGATTCGTAATATTTTTAATATTTGCTCAATAAAATGTCAGACAATTTTTGTCTCTGCCACTTAGACTCATTACATTTATTTGTACGGTTGTTGCTTTGTTTGTGCTTAGCAACTTCTCTGCTACCATCCTACTGCGAGTCGACGTGGATACGGTAATGCTCTTTAGTAAATTATCCTATATTATATCCTGAGTTAATTATACAACAAAATACAACAAACTTTCCTAATAAGCTATAAGCAAAAAGGATTTCAAGCAATATGTAAATTATTTATGTTAGTTCTCACTTACCACGCGAATTTATTAAATGCAAAGTTATCTGCGTAACTTTTTGTTGCGGAATACTCTAGAGTATATTGATCCCCTTAAAGAAAGGCGAGACATTATTCTTCATATGCGTTGGCCAGGGAAAGCCGGATAGCAGATTTTCCCGAGAGGGCGGCATCGTGTAATCCTTTTTGTAGTTGACGCAAATCCTGTTGCTCTTTGCCAAGTCATAAAGTTTAATTTAGTTTTAAGCCTTTCAACTGGAAAATTGCATGGCTGTGCCAGCGGAACAGAGACAGAGTGATAAACGTAGTGTACACCGCTTATCTCTTTCTCTTTCCCGCGCGACAACAAAAACAAATGCCGTTGACCGCAGCCTGTCATTTCGTCTTTGGCGAGAAGGGGACAGATAGCTTAAGCCCCGGCCCTTGCTGCACTGCTCTAAAATTAACACACGTTTAATATGCAAGTCGTGCATAAATTGCATTGTTGTTGTTGTTGTTGTAGCTGCTGCTGCCACTGGAAAGAATACGAATTTTCATCTTCCACACGCTTTTTAATTTGCCATCTGACGTCACGACGCTGGGCAAGTGCAACAACAATGACCACATGTCAGCGCCCTGCGAGAAAGCCCTGTGTGTGTCCAGTTTTCCATCTTTTTTCCCACCCGCTGCCACTTTTTGCCAAAGGGAAATACGTGCCCGTCGTCTCGTTATCATCATTATTATTATTATTATTATCGCCACGACGGCCGGACATTAACGTTGATGCGCTTTAATTGGCAATTGAGGCGATGCAGGGTTCTTGCACACGATCCAATCAGAAAACTGGCACTTAAGCAGCTCGACTGCAGTAATTTGATTAAATGTGGTCCACCGCGTTACTCATTTACCGATTCGATCACTTTTTACACTACTACGCACTCGATTTCCACGTTGTTTTTTATTTAATAACACCCGATTTACCACTTTCATTTCGAATGTCACATGTAAACACAGAGTTGAATTAAGTAATGGATAATTCTAAACACTAGTGTTGCAAAACACCAATGCAGACCCGCGAAATTTGAAATATGTGATGATCAGCTTGCTGATTAGTTTAAATGTATTCATTTTTATTTGTCTTTTAAACAAATTAAAACCAATACAAAAACAATAACAATAGCAAAATTTTATTTTCTCCTTTGGCCAATCTATTCACACAGATTTATGTATTTTCGCCCAATTATGTCTGTTTTTGGGCCAGCAGGCGAGATTTGCGGAGTTTTGAGACAGTGCCAAATTTCTTGGCAGTCGCATTAACGACAAATGTTGCCAAGTAAATTGGCATAAAACAAATCGGCGTCATCATCGTTATTATCATTCCCTCTCTTCCGGCCGACTAATTAGATTGTTCTGCTAGCTCGAAAACAACCGGCGAATGGCAGTCGAAAATTGTTAAATAATTTAAAAAGAAATTAGCGTCCATTTTGTGTGTGAGCCTCTATGTGTGTGCGGGTGTGTGTGTGCAGACAAAACATCATGGAAATAAAAATTGTAACCAATTTCATGCATAACAGTTAAATAAAATTTAATTTAGCAGAAAAACGAAGCAAATGGGAGTTAAAATGGGGGCAACACGAAAAAGAAACAGCAACTGCACAAATTGCCAAAAGAAATAAAAATCACAAGATAAAAAGAGAGCAGCTAACAGTTGTGGCCACACTAACAGTTCATGTTCCTCAGGCTTAAAATAAAAGGCTCAAAATGCACATTTCATAAAACTAACTTAAATATAAATTCCTTCGTATCTATATGACCCTTAAGATATATTAGGAAGAGCTGAAATTAATATGATCTTAAAAATATATTTCTATCGTTATTCGTAAATTAATTCATTTATAAAGATTATAAACTTTTATAGTCATAATAACAAAGTAATAAAATTCATGAATATTAAATTTATAAAAATCTTAAAAATAAAAATAAAATTGATTTCAGATTACAAAATTTAAACATAAAGATCTCAACTGTAAGCGGCAGAAGTTATAGTCGTTGGAGAGTTCAAGAAAATAGACAACGAGAAATGAGTCGACCATAATGAAGTCTTCATATTTGTGTAGGAGCAGCAACAAATGAATGCCGTCAACATTTATTATTAATTTTAATATTTCAAAGAGCTCCGGCGAGCCAAAGCAAACAAAAACACTTTAAAAAGAATGCGCCACATTTATATTTAGCGGAAAATGGAATAAAGTAACTTTAATATGGTTGGCTCATAGCCAATCACACTAATTTGATAACTTTGTTGTCAGCCGACCAGCATACCAACAATGTTTTTGACTATATAATTCAGGCATTTACCTTTTCATACACCTCTCGTTAGCCGCCAGCAACAACAATTAACTTTTAAACCACAGCCAAAGGCGGAGCAAATTTAATCAATTTATTTTATGCTCTAAAAAAACATTGAATTTTACTAAATGCGCTTGAAATTCGGAGTTTCATCAACTGAAAACATTTTGCTTTTGGCAAGGCTCGAAGTCTTGAACTAACATTTGATTGTTTAACGAAATTAAAATGGGGTAATTTATTAATAACAATCAACTTAAAGCGTTTCAACAAGAAAATCTTTAGTTTTTGTGTCTATAGGAAGAATTTCTTTGCCTTGGTTTTAGCACAATTTTCTATGAATAATATTATAAATACTACATTGATTTTTATCCAAATAATTAAGGCATATGCATACATATATAGTTAAGAATTTACGTAACTGGTAGTTTTGATTTGCCTTAAAAACCCTCTAACCCTATAAAACACTCTAATCAAAACCAATTTAAATACAATTGAAAAAGTACTCAAACAAAGACGTCGATCACTGAAATGTTCTTTTGTCTAAATGGTGCAGTAAACTATCTGTCATCTTCTTAATTGCGCGTGTTAAAAATGCCAAAGCCGAAATCCAAAAGACAAAACGAACTTAATTTCAACGACAGCCAGAAATGAATCGGTGCAAAAAAGGTCCTTTAACAAGGAGCAAGAAAGCAAAAACCAAGCAAAAAAGGCATCGACAATGAAAACCACAAAGCGGCGCTTTTGTTTGCCAGTGTCGCATGCAGTCAATCTATATATGTATTTGTCTATATGTGTATGTATATATGTGAGTGTGCGAGTGGGTGTGTGTCGCCTGCCAATCAACTCAACAATCGCAATCAATTTGCCCCGCTGCATAACCCCCCCCCACTACGATTTTCCCACCCTATTTTCCATTTCGGGCGCATTGTCATGGTGCAAGTGCAACTGTCATTCCAAGCGCAATCTCTGCATATGGCTGAAGGGAAAGGCAACGGGGGGTCGGCTGGAAAATGTGTGATATATCAGGAAAACCAAAAAAGAACAAGAAAAGTAACGCCTATGGCGCCGCAGTGCACTTTTTAATTACGATACTGCGACATTAAGGACCGCAGACATTACATGCATGAATCATAGCCCAAAGGTGTTAAAAAAACGAAAGGAAAACGTTTTTAACCCGCATGTGTTGCTCTTAACAATAAAAAGTGCCTTTTAGTTCGATGTTCATGGAAAAAAATCACTGCAAAAAAATATACAAAGCTTAATGCTAGCTAATACATTTTTTTTTTGTTACATAGACTGCTGCAGCAGACCTAAGAACCAGCATTACAATTTTCGAAATTATAAGCATTATACGCGAATCAAACTCATAATACGCATACGCAGCGTTGTACCGTCGCACACACTCGTAAATTTGCCATTGTTATGCTAAATTTATTTGCCCCCACAGCCATCTGTTGTTGCTGTTGTTGTTAACTTCATCAGAAGTACGATTGAAACGCAGCTTCCGTTTCCGCAAAATGGCTGTCAATGTGTGAGTGAGGTTGTGCGGTGGCGGGGGGGAGGGGAAGTGGTGTGCCGGGGAAATTCCACTTTGCCTGCAAACAAATCAACTTGAACTTCCGTTTCATTTCGCTTTTTCTTGCCATTTCATATTCTTTTGCAACTTATCCCTCCACCCTCTCCCCACAATTTGGCAAAAAAAAAAAATAAATAAAAAACAAAACAAAAAACCCCACTCAACTCTCAATTTTTATTTTCCCTTTACTGTGCATTTCGGCGACTTTAGCGTAAATTTACTTTTCACTTTCAGCGCGCCATCAAAAAGTTTTTGTGCATAGCTAACTTTTTGGCTCACATTACGTATATTTTCCATATTTTTGCCTGCTTCACTTCCTTTTGCCTCTCGTTCAACGTGTCTTTTCAATGTCATTGCACACGCTCTTACACTGAAAAAATAGTTATATTTTGGTTAAAATCGTTAACGGAAAATTTCCTGGCAGTATATATTTTAAACAAGGGAAATACTAAAAGTTATTAATTCATACCAAATACAAAAATAATACGTATATGTATAAAAATAGAAAGAATAATAGAACGTGCCACGCTTTATGCCCAGTGCAAAAACACACTCGGAAAAGCTGTCGTGTGTGTTGCGAGAGGGGAAACTCTGTCTTTTTGGCATTTCATTTCCTTCATTTCTGCCGTTTTGCACCTCGGAGCGGTTTCCTCTACTTTATTTTATATTTTCTTCTTTTTTAAGAGGGGAGGAAGCGTGGCAGTGGGCGGCTGGCACAGTGGCACTCCTTGAGTTTTTCTATACTGACTCACTCGTTCTGACTGATTTTCCGCGACCTACGTAAGTTGATGCTGCTTAATTTAATGCTCGAGTGCCTATTTAAATTTTGGCCCTCATCGTCTGCATTTCCAATTTTGTTTTGTCATTTACGTTTGGTTTTATTTTCCTCTCGTTTCGTTTCGTTTCGTTTCGCATCCTTGCGAAATCAATCAGCGGCCGGCACGTGTGTGCATTGATAACGTGGCCAATAATAGGAAAGCGAAATGTATTTTTGGCAGCCCATGAAAATACATCTCAACTTTTCGATGCGAGTTAGCGATTGTTTGTGCGCTGGGTGGAAAAGATGAAAACAATTTTGTGCAGCATGCTGTTAGGCAGTAATTTGCTTGTGGCATCCGGAAATGGTTGTGCCACCATGGAAATGGAAACGGGTGGCTAGAAATTCAAATGTTTGGCAATTACAACTGTTTGTTCGAGATAAATTCACATTATGGTTTTTGCAATGATCTGAATGGTATTCAAGGCCCTATCATTTACTGGTAATGAAAATAATAGCAAAGCATATTTGAAATTCTTTACTTTACAAACTTACTTATTTTTAATAAAATTTTTAGACTTTTTCTTATACAAAAGTACATAGCTCTATTTCTAGTTGCGTTTAGCCTTAGTGCTTTGAGTTATCTCTCCTCTAGATAGTTTTTTGTTGAGTAGCTTGAAGATGGTAAAGGGTAGTACAATTACCAACAGGAATGCTGCCCCGAAAATGATCAGAAGCACATCCACATTGTGATACTGCCACCAGTTCAGTCTTTGGGACGCACTCTGCAAATAGGCAGCTCCTTGATGGCGGGTCACGTGTTCCACCCAGTATACCGCATTTTCCAGTGGCGTGTGCTGTTGATCCCGATATCGGAAGGACATGCCCTGCACCACTTTCGTGTAGGAGGGGTCACTGGTAATTCTCTCGATGGCTTTGCGGAAATCGACGGCATTCAGCGTCTTGAAGTCCAGCATGATGCCATAGCCGGTTTGCTCGGCATGAGCCATGTTAAAGAACTGATCACTGAAGATCGGCAATCCGATCACGGGTTTGCCATGATAAATGGACTCGGTGGTGCTCAGCATGCCTCCGTGGGTCACAAATGCTAGCACCTTGGGATGTGCCAATATGTCCGTCTGTGGAAACCAGTCGGAGATGTACACATTATCCGGCTTGTTGGGCAGTTTATCCAGCTCAAATTTCCACAGAACTCGTTGTTTTAGTCCACGTAATGCACTCAGGATCTCTTGCACCTTTTCTGGAGGTAAGTCCTTGCTCTTGAGATTCGAACCCATGGAAAAGTAGATTGCTGCATGTTCAGACTCATTAATGAATCTCTCGATCTTCTCGGGCAGTGGACTCAACTTTCCGTCGATGTGCATGCCACCCACTTCAATCATGTTGGGTGAGTACGGTCGTGGAAAACTTAGTGAAACATGTTGATTGATGAGCACCAAGGAGGCGTTTCGGCGCATCTCATAGAAACACCTTTTGTTTCCCGGAAAGAACTCCTTGTATAACTTCTCCTGATTCGGTAAGTAATAATAGTCCAGTAGCAGCCTTTCATAGCCAAGAAAAGCCACGTTCAAAAGCCGTTCGTACAGCGACATGTGATCGTTGAAGGGTAGCATTATGTGGGGCACAAACGAAGCAGGAGCGGGAGAACCAACCTGAAAAGGAAAAATGTATTCTAAAATGTGAATGGCTAACAGAATGCACTTCTTCAAATTTATAAAATTGGTAATGCTTCATATAACTTAATAGTTTACTTTTTGTTTGTCAGAACTAACTTGGAATCCTTTACTTACCATATCTGTGATAAATGTCAGACCTCCACCAGTGCTCAATCCAATGAGTGGGGCATTAAAATGCTCTGCCAAACCATAGTGGGCATCATTATAAAAAGTCTCACATATAATCGCATCGAAGCTTTGGTTGCTCTTCAGAAATTCCTGGAAATTGGAGTCCTCGAAGAGTCCTCTTGTGATGCGGAAACCCATCTGATAGTGATCAATAAGTTTCTGAGTCACTGGCTTTTGGATCGATGCCCACAAGGCCGCAATGTCTCCTAATAAAAGCAAGGGTTTAAAATAGTATAAATAAAATAAGTATATTTAGTAATAATTGTACTTACCCCCCATGACATTGATCACATTTGGCACATTTATATCAGTATAGCCAGAAATGGGTTTCTTCACAGGATAGACGGATACCACGGTGATGGTATGTCCAGCCTTGACCAATCCCTTGGCCAAGGCATGACCCACATTAAAGTGGGAACGACCGGCAGAATTTAGAACCATCAGATAGTTGTAGCCACTTGAGTATTCCAAGCCACTTAGTAGACCCAAGATCAAGGTGAATATACGCATGGTGATGAAAATCAACCGGCGAACCAAAAGCCAAACTGAACCGAACTGAACCGAACTGAACGCGTTGCTACACACCACTGGAAATAAATACCGCGCTCAACATGGATTTATATAGATATCTGAGTGTACATACATACATACAATCATTGTGAAATCAACTTTTGCGTGAGGCCCAGCATGGAATTGGCAGGAGCCAAATGGTAAACACACAATTTCGATTGCGGAAAATCGTGTTCGTTAGTCGACTGCTGAATCCCCTACAGCTATAAATAATGGACAAAGAATAACTTATCATTTGATCATGTGTATTTTAAGTACTTGTACTATATTTAAGTACTGTAATACTACTTACAATAATACATTTTAAGTAGTGTCAAAGTAGTGTATAAATTAGTTTAAAGGGTTTTAATTGTGATGATCAGTCAGTATTAAGTTCTCATGTTTTCCTTAGTTCTCAAGAGAACGCACGCAAAAAAATGAATGTTTCACTCAATAAAAAGCTTAGAATCAAAGAGAATATATACAAAGAGAAACCCCGAATCTTTAAAGAGAACCTTCACTCAATTAAGCAAATAACACTAGATAAACAACCCCTTTTAGGTAAATAAAGTCCAATGATTTTGAAAAACCAGAAGGTATTACCTAATATTGTCGATCTTTTGAGAATATATGAACTTTACCATAACCATTGGAATATTTTGTCTGGGCAGACACTTCAAACGTACCACTTATCTACTAGAACCTTTTCTTATCAAATACTATAACTACAAGGAAAATAGCAAACCCGCTTCAGTCTGCTTTTAACATTTAAAGACGCTGCCGCAATGCGTTGGCTTCTAAATTCGTGGCTGTTGCTACTGTCAGCCCTTTTGGGCCAATCATGGGGCTATTCCTACCTGATGATCAGCCCCACTTCATCGAAATCGCACTACGCCGTCGGCTTTGCATTGGCCAAAAGATTAGCTGCCGCCGGTCATGAAGTCACTTTGATATCACCATTTCCCCAAAAGAAGCCCATTAAGAACATCATTGATGTGGACACGCCGAATATTATCACCGTGATGGGGGGTGAGTACTATCATATCATTGCTAATCAAAAACTACAATGATTTGACGTGTGAAATAAACGTTATCTTATCTGATGAGGCTCACCTGAAAGTTGCCTTAATCCCAGAGGGTCAACATAATATTAGTTGTAGCTACTATTTCTGGGTATATAAATCTATCTTTAGAACTTTTCAATCGGCTGTATAACACAAAATATTTTCAGCATCTATTTTGGTTTTAAGGAACTGGTTAGTTTGCTTGATCAATAATATCATATTTTTCTCCCATAGTTTACAAAGCGCGAATTCTGCAGAATGCCAAGAAGCCGGTTATACTGCGATATCCAATAATAAGCTTAATGGGCTTGGATTTAACAGAAGCCCTTTTAAAGGAGCCGAGTGTACAGGAATTATTAAAACAAAATCGCACCTTCGATGGAGTTATCTGCGAAACCTTCATGAACGACGCCCATTACGGTTTTGCAGAACATTTCGGAGCTCCATTGATCGCCCTGAGCAGCTTGGGCGCCACTGGTTGGACCTCTGATCTGGTGGGCACACCATCACCACCATCCTATGTCCCGCACTGCTTACTGCGGTTCGGTGATCGCATGAATTTCTGGGAACGTGCTCAGAATTTGGGTTTCCAGATATACGAATTCATCTACGAGAATTTGATCAATCTGCCAAGACATGAAGCGCTGTACAGAAAGTACTTCCCCAATAACAAAAAGGACTTTTATGAAATGCGCAAGGATACGTCATTGGTGCTGCTGAACAATCATGTATCGATCAGCAATCCAAGGCCCTATTCTCCGAACATGATCGAAGTGGGCGGAATGCATGTGAATCGAAAGGCTCCAAAGCCACTGCCCCAGAATATTCGCAAATTCATCGAGGAAGCCGAGCATGGGGTTATCTATTTTTCATTGGGCTCCAATCTAAACAGCAAAGACTTACCGAAGAAAAAGCGAAAGGCCATTGTGGATACGCTAAGGAGTCTCAAGTACCGAGTTATTTGGAAGTACGAGGCGGAAACCTTTGCTGACAAGCCGGAAAATGTACTCATATCTAAGTGGTTGCCGCAGGACGATATCCTGGCACACGAAAAAGTGATTGCCTTCATAACCCATGGAGGACTTTTGAGCACAATGGAATCGATTTACCATGGAAAGCCCGTCGTGGGTATTCCCTTCTTTGGCGATCAGTTCATGAATATGGCCAGAGCCGAGCAAATGGGCTATGGCATCACCGTGAAGTATGCCGAACTAACGGCCTCGAAGTTACGATCTGCCATCGACAGGATTACTGGTGATCCTGTCTACACGGAAAGGGTGAAGGCGATATCCAATCAATATCGCGATCAAAAGGAGACGCCACTGGAGCGCGCGGTTTACTGGGTGGAGCATGTGACTCGGCAGAAAGGAGCCAAATATCTGAGGAGTGCCAGTCAGGATCTGAACTTCATTCAATACCACAATCTTGATGTTCTGGCGGCGTTCGTTTCGGTTATTGGATTGACTGTTATTTTCGTCTTTCTATTGGTTCGGTTTTTGTTTATTTATATAAGAGGCAGTCTCTTAAAATCCAAGAGCTCAAAGCTGAAAGTTAACTAGTTTATAATTAAATATTTTATTGTATGTGGTTTAGCTGTAATGGAATGTTATCTTTTTTCAAGTATAATGTATTATTTCGGTGACAACAAGTTACATACATTTATTTACTGATATAAAAATGTTCTAAAATTTTTGAAGAAAGAAATAAAAGCTTGGCAAAATATTGAAATCGAGACACGCCGCTTACTTTTCTTAATCACCAAGAAATATTGAAAGAGAACCGAAGTAAAAAACAAAACACAATTATGCACAATACCAAAAAAGCCGGTACGAAAACAAAACAAAAGGAGAATTGAGAATAAAACCTATCCAAAACTGATAATAAATGGTGTTCAGAACGAGAGAGAACCTCTCCACTTTGTAGAGATTTTGACATTCGATCGTGGATAGCCTACTAAATATTGAGTTTTTGGAAGCGTAACGACGACGAAGAGAGGGCGTGAGAGTAAAAGAGCTGGTCATCACAGACTGGAGACCGGGAGCAGTGATGCCAATATTTTTCTGGAAAAATTCTATTTCTTAACAAAAATTTTATATAGAATTTTAAATATTCTTTATGAATAAATATTATAACATTTCAAACACTTGTATGAATAACATTTGCCCGGTTATTTGTTGAAGAGGGATGTCAATGTGATCTTGCAAGTAATCACACTTAAGAACACATACAATACACATACGCTACACTGACTGCTCGACCGGTAAGAGAGATCACTTAAAATATTTTGTGACTCTAAATTAGAAGACATGCCTTGCAGTCTTCACTAGAACTAGTTGTGCATTATAGAGCTACAAGAAAATATGTTTCCTAAACAAATATTAAAAGCGACAATAACTATGTGTTCCAACAGTAAGTGCACATGGTGCAAGTAAGACACACATACATACATACATACATACATACATACATACATACATACATACATACATACATACATACATACATACATACATACATACATACATACATACATACATACATACATACATACATACATACATACATACATACATACATACATACATACATACATACATACATACATACATACATACATACATACATACATACATACATACATACATACATACATACATACATACATACATACGTACGTACGTACATGCACCGGTACATACACTACACATACACTACATTCACTGCTCGACCAGTAAGAAAGATTACTTGCACTATTTTGCGACTCTAAATTAGAAGACATGCCTTATAGTCCTCACGAGAACCAGTTGGGAATTATAGGGCTACAAGAAAATATGTTTCCCAAACAAATATTTAAAGCGGCAATAACTATGTCTTCCAACAGTTAAATATTCTTCAGGCTTTATTTAAGACAATTTTTACTACTCACTTGCAGTATTTGCAACAGCCTTTGTTTTTATCACTTTTGTCCTTTGTTAACCAATTTTTAAAATCTGGCTGGTCAAGCCAGAAATCGCGAAATTTTTGTTAATACCCTTCTTTAGGCATTTTGGCAGAATCTCAAAATGTTTGATTTTATATATTATTTTGTTTGTATTCTTCTTTAGGCAATTTGACAAAGTGAGTTCGATATTCATACGATTACACACAATATCGATAACATTTGCTTAAAAGTGATAGTTTGCAAACAAAAAAATGTGGAATTATACCAATTTTCCTGGCCACACACTTCTAACATTGTCTAAAAAGGACTGATTTCCGGATAGAAAAACTTCAAAAAAGACAGATTTCCGGGTTGGGGCTGTTTAACATTTTTTCCGGATGAAGCAGTAAAAAACAGGACAGATCTGTCCGGAAAAAGGCTACATTGGCATCACTGACCGGGAGCAGACTCTCCAAATTCGATTGGGACCTAACATAAACACACTTATAATTACCTCATCGCAGTCCCATGTTAACTCAGTTTATTGCGAGGCGCCGAGGCGTTCGTACCCCTATAACAGTATCGGTTTCACGATCGTTAGTCGTTAAGAACGCATTTCCCAACTGGCTACAATTAGGCCGAATTAATTGTTTTTAATTCGTAGTTTCTGAAACTAACGATGCAACCAACAGCTGGCCAAACGAGTTTTCTGGCCCTGCTGGTGCTCGGCCTGCTGAGCTGCGTTTCTGCCTACAACTACCTGATGGTGGTCCATACCCCCGCCCGATCCCATTACCATGTGGGATCTGCCCTGGCCAAGGGATTAGCCGCTGCGGGACATCAGGTGACCGTTATCTCACCCTTCAAGCTGAAGAAACCCACCAAAAACATCAAAGAAGTGCAGGCCAAGAGCATTCTGACTTCCATGCAGGGTGAGTTTAGCTAACGAAATTAATAACATCATTACACAATCTAAAGTGCCGTTCAGTAAGACTACAGACATTGTGCCTGTAATTCTGAATTGAATGAATGTCGAATGAAATCTAAAGTTTGAACAATGTACTTCCATTATGAATTCCAGACCACAGCCATATCGTATATTAATATGATTAATGTAATAGTGGGAACATTCAAAAGACTTTTAAAATACGGACTTGTAAAATATGGCCCATGGTGTAAACCGGTTGGATTACATTTAAGTTCAAATATTTATTTTAGAACACACAAGCCTTTTGTTGACAGATAAAGCTTATATGTATTACATAACAAAGTAAATTCAGCTTATTAGCTGAACAATTTTCAAAGTCATTGTAATTTTTCCTTAAGAAGTTGCACCAATAAAAAATGAGTGAAATTAATTTCCTAAGGAATCTTAATCGATAAGCTTAGCTAACAATTGCTTCTGATAACGTCCATGGTTTCTAAGCGCTTAAGGGTTTTAAAATAACTCATATTTTCGTACAACGATTTTTATGACAAGAATCGGTTTGTATGTTTGATAGGAACTCATTTTAATAAGCTATTCATTATTTTAGGTCGAATGGCTAACCTTTTGGAAACCTCGAAGAAGCCCATAGTTAAGCAGATCGTTAACTTTCATGAGATGGGTATTAAGATGACCGAACTTCTGTTGAATGAAACATCTGTGAAGGAACTGATGCAATCCAACCAGACTTTTGACGCCGTCATATCCGAGGTGTTCGTGAACGAAGCCCACTTTGGATTCGCCGAGCACTTCAAGGCTCCGCTTATAGGACTAGGCACCTTTGGAGCTATTATCTGGAACACAGATCTGGTGGGTAACTATTTGATGGAGAGGTTAGGAGGTTTTCCATAATGTAGGTTACCTTTTATTTTAGGTGGGATCTCCTTCACCGCCCTCATATGTTCCCAGTGCACTGCTTAAGTTCAGTGACCGTATGTCCCTCGCAGAGCGAGTGGGCAATCAGGCCTTCCTCACCTACGAGTACATCTTCCTCAACTACTTCTACCTGCCGCAACAGGAAGTCCTGTACCGCAAGTACTTCCCCAACAATAAGCAGGACTTTTACGATATGCGCAGGAACACGGCCCTAGTTTTGCTCAATCAACATGTATCCCTCAGCTTTCCCCGACCCTACTCACCCAACATGATCGAGGTGGGCGGCATGCACATCAATCGAAATCGCCAGGCGCTGCCGAAGGACATTCTGGAGTTCATTGAGGGTGCCGAGCATGGAGTTATCTACTTCTCGATGGGCTCCAATCTGAAGAGCACAACACTGCCGTTGGACAAGCGCCAGGCGCTGATCGACACCTTTGCCCAGCTGAAGCAGCGAGTGCTGTGGAAGTTCGAGGACACCGAGCTGCCCGGAAAGCCCGCCAATGTGTTCATCTCGGACTGGTTTCCCCAGGACGACATCCTTGCCCATGACAATGTGCTTGCCTTTATTACGCACGGCGGTCTGCTGAGCACCACGGAGTCCATTTACCATCGCAAACCCTTCGTGGGCATTCCCATATTTGGCGATCAGTTCCTGAACATGGCTCGTGCCGAGCAGAATGGTTATGGAGTGACTGTTCATTACACGGAATTAAGTGCTGCCAAACTGTTAGCAGCGATTCAGAAAATAATCAACGATCCTGAAGCCACCAAGAAGGTGCGCGACATGTCCGACAGATATCGCGATCAGCCGCAGACTCCATTGGAGCGAGCCGTTTACTGGGTGGAGCACGTGTCTCGGCACAAGGGTGCCAAGTACTTGAGGAGCGCTTCCCAGGACCTGAACTTCATTCAATACCACAATCTGGACGCCATGGTGATACTATATGGCGGCATTATATTCGTGCTCTATTGTATTTTCCTGCTGATCCGTTTGGTGTGGCGATTCCTGCAGGAATTGTTCGTGAAGAAGGAGAGTCCCAAGCCAAAGCAGAAAGCCAAACAAAATTAAGCTCAAGTGATAAATAAGTTTAGTATCCACAGTTTAAATTAGGGTGCTTAAAAACAAATTTAATTTTAACTGGCAAGAACAGAGAAATTATTATTTAAGGTAGTGAATGAATAAAATAGGTATAGAGTTTCATAGAAACTCCTTCCTATTTTCAATTCAATTTCAAAGTTAAAACAGTGCAATTTTCTTATCGTATTCCTATTGTAATTGTCTGTAATGAAATCGACAAAAATATATTTGGTATGTACGGATTTTTCCATAAACTGTCTTCGAATTTGCTACGATTCAGCGTTGTTGGAAAAGCTCGTGAAAATTTCATTTGATTTTACAGGGCTGGGTGGGGTTGTGCGGTTGGTTTCAGCCTGCGGCTCGAAGCTGGTAAACTAAAATGGAAAATATTGTGAGTTTCTATCGAAAAAATGCCACGTTGCTTTCCTTTTTGCTCGGTCTCCTATTTTATTTTCAGCTGCTTACATTTCATTTATAGTATAGTACACCCTCACGGATTACAACCATACTAGAATTTTAAATTTATCTGATAGTCTTTGAAATTTTATTGGAAATACATTTTAATCCGCAAACTCTTCTGAAACTTTCGCTTTTAAAACTGTGATTGCTTAAACATGTTCTCAGCTTTTAGGAACCAATGTATATACAGAAAATAATTATGAGGCCCTAAACTATACTAGATCATCTCATTATTGTTTTAGGCAAGGGTATTTATATTTTCGGTTCAGTGGTGAAAACTTTTTTGTTGGTTCCCATTTTTATGGACCCCATTTTTCCCCTCCTGCTGCAAGTTGCACATAGTTAACGCTTCAGTTGTAAAAATGCCCATCAGCGCGTTCAAATTTTTAACAGCAACGAACTGAGTGCCACGCCCACTCCCATTGCCCCGCCCCTGCCACACCCACCCAACGCCTCCGGCTAAATGCTTTTATTTTCCTTGCCGTGCATCTTCCTCTTCTCATCCTTTTGCCAAGCAAAAGGCGTGTAAAAGTTGTAGCCCAACTTATTGAAACTGTTTTGGGCCATGGCCATGCTGCTGGAAAATCACCGTTTTCCTCGGAAATGTTGGCGGCTTTAATGCCGATCCGAGTTAGAAGTGCATCCAAGGAGCTATTGTTTCTCTGCGAAAATTGTTGGCCATAATAAAACCCACAAAGCGTCTTAAGAACAATTTCAGCCCTATGCAAAGTAATCCGAAGCCAGGTAATAGTTTTTAATAAATGCATTTATATTAGAAGGTATTTCGCTCAGAATGAATAATTTAAATAATTTTGCTATGTAGCAAAGTAGACTGGTAATATATTATACACTGATATATATGGTTTTATAGAATCATCGGGGAATTTTTCTGAGATTGACAACGAATTTAGTTCAGGGCACTCTAGTGCACGTATTTGTAAGCCATTATAAAACAATAATTTTAATTGGAAGTTACTAAAGTTGGTTTGCTTCGATCTTTTTATAAGACATTATCAGTTATGTCTTAAAAGTTCACAAATATTTGTTACTCATATTCAATATTCAGAGTTATATTAAATAACAATTTTTATTTTTACAGAGCTTTTAAGCTTAAACTGCATAAAATGTAAAACAAGCAAACCTTTATGCATCTGTATCACGCATGCCTTTGTTCTTATCTGAAGCCCCTATTCAGCTGCACACCATCGTCTCGTATACTCGTAGGTATGAATCTGAACGCACATCACATCAGCTTACAATAACATTTGGGTAAAGCCCCAATAACAATTTCAGCCACAAGATTTAGTATAAAAATGGCAACGGAAACTTTTACAACTCAGTTGAGAGTGGACGGCAAGATGCTGAAGTTATTCGCAGTGGAACTGCTGGTTCTGCTGGCCAGTTCATCGGTTCTCTCCATCGAAGTGGACACCGAACTGGGACGGGTGCGAGGAGCCAATCTGACCTCCAGATTGGGTGTACCTTTTCATGCCTTCCGAGGCATTCGGTATGCAGAGCCACCTCTGGGAGATTTGCGATTCGTGAATCCGCAGCCAGTAAGACCCTGGTCCCCGACAACTTTTGATGCCAGTGAAGATGGACCCATGTGCCCGCAACCGTGGGATAATATGACCGATGTATCTGAGGACTGTCTGAGACTTAATGTGTATACCAAGGATTTGAAGGGTCGCCGTCCTGTGATCGTATTCCTGCATCCCGGAGGCTTCTATGTCTTCTCTGGACAGAGTAAATATTTGGCGGGACCCGAGCATTTTATGGATCGCGATTGCGTGTTGGTATCGCTTAATTACCGGCTGGGTAGTTTGGGATTCCTGGCCACCGGAACTAAGGAAGCACCTGGCAATGCCGGTCTCAAGGATCAGGTCCTGGCTTTGCGCTGGATCCAGCGGCACATCCATCGTTTTGGCGGTGACCCCGGTAGTGTAACCCTTTTGGGTTATAGTGCGGGAAGTATCAGCGTAGCTCTGCACATGCTATCGCCCATGTCACGGGGTCTTTTCCATCGAGGCATCTGCATGAGTGCTGCTCCATATGGACCACTTGCGTTCAAGGACAATGATCTTCGATTGGCCAAGCGTCAGGCCGGGCTATTGAAGTGCCCACAGGAATCTATCGCGGAAATGGTGGAGTGTATGAGGCAAAAGCCCTACTTGGATTATGTGAGCACCTACAATGGCATGTTTGAGTTCGGCTGGAATCCCGTGCTCAACTGGAGAATCGTTGTGGAGGAGGATTTCGGGCAGGAACGTTACCTCATCGAGAGTCCTTTCAAGACAGCTCGACGTGGCGACTTTTACAAGGTACCCCTCATCACCGGCATCACGGAGTTTGAGTTCCTTTCGGGAGCTTTCTGTAAGTGTGATTTTAAAACAGGCTCTTGGGAAGTGGAACAAACCATTCTATTTATTCACTATAGTTGATCTGCGAAATGAAAGTATTGTTAGCCTCTATAATAAGGATTGGGAACACTATGCATCAATTGCTTTGCTCTTCGAACAAAACTCAACCCAATCGCGAGCAGCCAGTCGAGCTTTGAGAGAGAAATACCTGCCGGAAAGCTTGGACAAGCTGGAGTACCCGAAATCCCTAAAGGGTATGGGTGAACTCCTAAGTGATGCCTTGATTGGAGTGTCCTTCCATCGATTTCTTCAGCTGATGTCCCCCCACACACCCATTTACACTTATCTGTTTCGTTACAAAGGTAGATATACCTTCTTGAAAAATCCCGATAACCAGCAAACCATAGGTACGCAGTTAGAACTCAATTTAGATTTAGACAATCTTATTTATTGTTCTTATAATTTGAAAAGGCCCCGTTCACCATGACGAGCTAATATATTTATTCCATGTGGGTCTTTTGAGTCCTTTGTTGAAGCGAGATGATCCCGAAAATTTTATGATTGAGCTATTGACGCGTATGTGGATTGAATTTGCTCAGAAGGGGTAAGTTTAATACTTGTTTTTTTGAGGTTTTTAGTATAATCTTTTATCCGTAGTGATCCTCACAACAAAAACGATGAATATCTGAAAGATCTGAACTGGCCTCTGTACAATTCGCAAGATAAAGCTTATCTAGAAATTGGCAATAACCTCACAGCCAAAACTGGCGGTTTCTTTTTGAACCGGTATCAAATTTGGGAGGAATTATTTCCACTTTCAAGCTTTCATTAAGCAAGCATTATTATATCAAAAAATATTTAATAAAACTTAAAACCACTTCCTCAGTGTATCAGCTTGTTTCTGATTAAACTGACACTGCAATTTTCACCCTTGGGAGCTAAATCAAAACGAAATGCAGGTGACACACTCATCTCTTTGGGACACAATTCACACAAATTAACAAACAAAAATGACAAAATTGTTGAACGCATAACTATCGCCAGGTGAACGAGCATTGAGTATATTTTCAGCAATTTGCAGCAACAGTTCGGATTTTGTCGACTTGTCGCCAGAACAAATTGTTGTAAAAACAAGAGAGAAAAAGCGAAATACGAGGAGAAAACCCAGTGAACCGACCGATTTGCTTGGACAAGTTACCGATTAGATGCAGTCAAGAAGTGAGCTGATATTTGGAAACATTTCCGAGACTGCAAATTGGAATTGCTGACATTGCGTAAATAATAGTTCAGACTGAATTGAAAAACCAGATTGTGAGTATTGTTTTTTCAAGCTGCAATTAAACGTCAGATTTTCGGCTAGGTTTAGTCAAAATAATCAATTCATCTGTTTCCGTTGACGATAATCAACATCTCATTAAAAACGCGTCGAACCACAAAACAGGACATCATTAAACAGCCCCGTCTCCGCTGACCTACCACCACTGGGGACATTTAAAGGGTTAAGAGCCGGAGCAATGGGGGTCGGCGAATGCAGCCCTAAATCGCATGAAATTATCCACATTTGCATGCCAACGCAAAACACACAGAGCTAATGGCAATTCCAGCCACACCACATTTATATAGCTCATGAATTTTTGATTACGCATTTGGCAATGCGGCCAAATACGGTCAAAAGCACCAGCCGTACCCAAATGAACCAAACCAATCCAACGGAAGTGACTCCGTGCAATTTAATATTACGCATACGCAGCGTATGCAACTGATTGGCAGCGGTTAATAAATGCGCTCAAACCGGCGCTCACGCCCAGCCCACACATGCAAATATTTGAATGCGTATTCCATAATTCACTGGACGCCAATCGAGCAGCTTTTGCGTGCGACCAGAAAAGCATCGTTATAATATAAATACGCGCATCATACATAATACCCCATCATTTTGGTGCTCTATCTGTGGTGAAAACAAACTGGGAATCGCGGGGTCTCACTGAGTTTCATTGTGTCATAGGTGGTCATACGTCGGCCATTATCGGGGGCGGTAGTAGCTATAAACTGGTAACGATGTTATAGATAAGGTAAGCAGAACTCATGCCCATTCGAAAAAAAAGGCTGCTTAGCAATAAGAACAAAAGGCTTACAGAATGAACGCACTCAGAACCGACATACTTCTCTTCTTTGTTTGAATAATTGACTGGGAAAGCACGCTTAACACATTTTGGCTGGCTGATAAGATAATTTGATTCACTCACTCCCTCTTGATTCACTTAGTCTAAGCAACCAAAAAAGTGTGGGAAATAATTAATCAATTTAATCATATATAGCTAATCATATATAGCTTTTCCATACAAAATGGCATAGATTAGCTAGACTTTTAATTCTCTTAAGTTCTTTTATTTCCTTTATTTAGCTATAATTTTAAATTTCCATTTACAAATATCACGAAATCCTTTCCTTAAAAAACGGTTGGTTTACATGGTTTTTTGCTTTTTCTTGGAATTTCCAATATGCAAAAACTTAGCTGCTTTCCAAAGGACTACCACAATCAAAAGAGTTCCACCCAAAAAGACTCCAAGGACATCCAAGCTGTGGTAGGCGAAGAAACCCAAGTCCTGGCCAGCCACTCTCATGTGATGGGCTCCTTTGTGCCGCAGAACGTATTCCGTCCACCAAATGGCAGTGTTTAGTGGACTCATTGGCTGATCCCGATATCGTTCCGACATCTGCCTGGCAATCTGAGCAAATCGCGGCTCCTTGAGCAATCGCTCAATGGCCTGCTTAAGTTCCTGCTGTGACATTGTCTTGTGATCCAGTCCCAATCCAAAGCCTGCCTGCGTGGCCCGCCTTACATTCAGGAATTGGTCGTAGAAGAAGGGCAGACCCAAGACGGGTTTGCCATGATGAATGCTTTCGATGGTGCTCAGCAATCCGCCGTGGGTGATAAAGAGTTTGACCTTCGGATGGGCCAGGATATCCGGCTGAGGAAACCATTTGCTGATGAAAACATTGGCCGGCTTGCCAGGCAGCTTGTCGTCTTCGAATTTCCAGAGCACACGCTGTGGCAATGTGGCGAAGGTTTTTAGGATAAGTTCTCTCCTGTCCCCCGGTAGATCCTTACTCAGAACATTAGACCCCAGCGAAAAGTAGATCACACCCTGCTCTCCGGAGCCCTGAATGAACTCGTCCAAGTCCTTGGGCAAAGGAGCTGGCTTGTGGGATATGTGCAAACCTCCAACTTCAATCATGTTCGGAACGTACGGACGCGGGAAGCTCAACGAAAAGTGCTGATTTAGCAATACCAGGGAGAAGTTTCTATTCAAGTCGGTGAGTTGAACCCTTCTCGAGGCCTCGGGAAAGAATTTCGCATACATTTTTTCCTGCTCTGGCATATGAACCAATCTGTAGTTAAGCCAAGCAACCGTAGTATCCACAAAGTTGGTAACACGCTCCACGAAAGTCATTCGATCCGTAAGACCCGTCGTTACCATCGGAGTATACGATAGAGGCGATACATTGCCCACTAGCTCATCAATATTCCAATCAGTGCCAAAGGTGGAGATACCAATTATAGGGGCATTGAAGTGGGCTGCAAATCCATAGTAGGCATCCGAGCGTAAAGCCTCCACAATGATAAGATCGAATTGATCCCTTCCGGGTGGCAAAAGGGTTTCTGTAACCTCTTTGTTTGTAAGAACACAGCGGGTAACGTCCACAAAGAATTTGTTAATGAAGTTGTTCTCCTGCCATAAATTCATGGGCTTGTTCAGCTCGTTTATCAATTCTAAAAGGTTGTTAAAAAATTACGTAATTTAAAATGTGTAATATATATGTTTTTATCATCTCACCATTATAATTAACAAATACTTCCGAGATAAAAACATCCCTAAAGTTACCCACTGGTTTCTTTTGCGGAAATGCATTAACCGAGGTCACGTGGTGACCCCGACCAGCCAGTTCCTTTAGATAGGGTACCACATTAATATACTGCGATGGCCCCGGAAACGGAAATATGGCCAGTATCCTGGCAGCCTGCAGATAGGCTGGCAGAGTTAGTAACAGAAAACTTATCCGTAGAGCGAGCATCTCAAAGATTGCATCTGCACTTCGCGGTCTTACTTCGTAAACTGAATAGGCAAACACATCACAACATAGTTCTAGGCTGTTAGATAACACTCTAAGCTACTGACATGCAATAGCAATTCTAGACAAATGAGATTACAAAAATTTCGTAGGCGATCCACATCTCACCGTCGCACCCTATCACTATTTTTTTCTCTATCCTATACCATGTAATCCCGTAAACAAATACATCGCTCTACTGAATAAACAATTGCGTACAGTCAAAGAAAAAGGAGTCTCAGTTAACGTTTTCAGCTAAAAACTTTAGACGTACAACATGTACTTAAAAAAAGAGTTTTTACTTTTGTTTTTAAGTTTCGTCTTGATAAACTTCTTTATGTTATTAAAATTTAGCATATTAAATAAGTTGCTCATTTTTTATTTACTGTGTATAACATACCTTTTGAGTGTGCAGTTTATAATAGAGCTTTAAACTACGGTTAAGTAGAGGCCAAGGTTCATGCGTGCACAATATCATTATAATGATAGGAATTGAAATTTTGACAGTAGTTTCTTTTGAATGAATGTTAATAATATTATTATTTTTTTTTTCCACTTATTTTTAGATATTTAATTTATTAATACAACTATCCTTAGTATTATTACTAAGTTCACAGGTGCTTGTAACAGAACAAATACAGCAGGTGTATCCTACTTAAAGGTTTAACATATAAGGTTTACCATAAACTCGGTGGCGGCATAAACTCAAATGGTTAATCGACTTTAAATGGTTACTGGGTCTTCAATTTACTAGGCCCCTGACGACGTTTTGCGATTATATAAGCGAAACCCCTTTGTAAGCAATTAAGCGCAGTTCTGACGATCTGTATGGACGCAAAAGCAACTGCGATGAGCAGCCCCCAGGTATCCAGTCCGTGGAACTGAATAAAATTCAGATCCCGCGAGGCACATCTCAAGTGTTTGGCGCCCTTGTGCCGCAACACGTACTCGGTCCACCAAACGGCCCGCTCCAAAGCGGTTTCCTTCTGATCTCGGAATAATTTGGATTTATTCTCAGCTGTGGCCGCATAACTGGGATTATCCAGGAGTTCCTGGATCAGATACGTGAGCACTGTGGCATTGGCAGTCCATATATCCGCACTGAGACCGTAGCCCGCCTGCTTGGCCCTCTGAACATTCATGTGCTGATCGTAGAAAATGGGCAATCCCAGTACGGGTTTGCCAAAGTAAATACTCTCGATGGTGCTCAATAGACCTCCGTGTGTGATGAATAGCTTAACATTCGGATGGGCCAGAATATCGGGTTGGGGGAACCACTTGCTGATGAAAACATTACTCGGTTTTTCGGGCAACTGATCATCCTCGTATTTCCACAGAACTCTTTGTGGCAGACTGGCAAAGGTTTCCATTAGAACTTTTCGTGTGGCTAGCGGAATGTCCTTGCTTTTGATGTTGGAGCCCATGGAGAAGTAGATTACACCCTTTTCTGATTGCTCTACCAATTCCGACAATTCCTTTTCTAAAGGGTGCACCTTTCGCCGCTGTTGCAAATGCAGTCCGCCCACCTCGATCATATTGGGCAAATAGGGGCGTGCATAGCTTAGAGAAAAGTGCTGGCCCAGCAACATTAGCGAAAAGCTGTCCAAAACTTCATCCAATGACTTCGTGGCCATTGGAAAGTATTTCGCATACAGTTCCCGTTGAGTCGGCAGATGGACAATACTCTTGTGCAGCCACATTACAGAGGCTTTAAAAACATTTCTCAGACGATCCGCGAAAACCATTCGCTCCGTTTGCGATGACAGCAGGATTGGATTGTAGGACAATGGTGATATATTGCCCATTAATTTATCGATGTGTGTATCTGTGCCGTACGATGAGATACCTATGGTCTCTGCTCCAAAATGCTGTCCAATGCCAAAGAGTGCTTCGGTTTGCACCGTTTCCATAACAACCAGATCGAATTTCTCGCCGCTGTGCAGCAAATCCTTTACAGCCGGATCATCAAGGATACTTGTGGTCAGAAGATTGAGAAACTTCGTTGTCATGGTCAACACTTTCCATTGACTTGCCGCCTGATTGTAATCGGCATTCCCAAATGCTGTAATATGTATGGGAATTTTATTAGATTAATTGAAATAATATCGACAACTCTTTGACTTTGCTTACCCGCCATAATTTCGTGAATTTTTTTTGCACCAATCACCCGAAAGTTGGGATGGATTTCATCGCTGCCAAATGTATTGATCACGGTGACATTGTGACCCCGATGGGCCAGTTCCTTCAAAAACTGCTCTCCAAAAATGTACTGCGATCGGCCGGGAAAGGGAAACACGGCCAATATACGCGAACTTTGAACTCCCTCATCGGCAATTGCGCTGAACAGCAATAGTGGGCAAATTAGCAGAAGGCCAAGAGCAATTCCAGAACATATTCTACCCATTTCCAAGGCGACCACAGCGATTCGCTGACAAACGGCAACTAATCTAGAAGTAAAAGAATCGCCCAAATTCTACACAATGCAAGTTCAACGAAGCGAGGCAGTGGCCTATTATTTCATACCAAAACAAATTCGCAGTTCGCTCTTTTTGTAGTTATACGTATATACTCGTATATATGTACATATATTTAGCGTCACCGGGTTGACTCAAACAACTTTGTTGATTGTTTACTCACAATATTCAGATGTTACGTATGTGACAGAAAAAACAAATAACACTCTTTTTTTCAATCTGGTTCTCTTAAGTTCTCGCCTTATCGACTCTCTCTCTCTCGCTCTCAAACTCTCCAGTTGTTTTGAGTTCTCAAACTTGTAAATAAACAGTTTTTTGTGTTCTCTGAGAGCCTGAGTTTCAATTTAGTATTGAAACATTTTAATTCATAAAATATTCATATGTGTATATATGTATTTCTGTCTAGTTATTCAGAAAAGCACAGACGTAAAATGCCGTAAATGGGTCCATAAAATGGGTAAAAAAAACACTAGAAACACTCGAAAATAAAGGGGCTATTAAGATTAGATAAAGCTACCATATCGCTTATCATTCATTGTCCCTGCTGCGATCAACCAAAAAAACAGACATCAAATAATTACAAGCAGTTCAAAGTATTTATTTCCACTGCGCAGCAGTATTTACTAAATTATTAAATTTACATTAATAATTAATTACATTACGTTTCTATTTAAAATTTCTAAAATATTTCTTAAATTACCTCATAATGAAGTGATTATGTACAAAAATTCCTAAGATATTGCCTTCTTATTATTTTGAATACCAGCATCAGCTAAATAATTCTTTGTAGACAAATGATCTAGCCATCTTCTGCTTTTAGAAAGAGACACAAAAACTATAGCCACCACCAAGGATAGCCGCAATCCGACCATTATGAAATTGTCCAGGAAATAGTATTCGAACAACTTCAACTGCGACTGAGATACTTTCATGTGATTGGCACCCTTGTAGCGTATAATGTACTCCGTCCAATAAATTGCCGAATCCAGGGGATGCATGGGCTGATCCCTAAACCTTCGGGAAATAGCCAAGGCACTCTCTCGGTATTTCGGCTGATTTATCATGCTCTTCACAGCGTCCTTTAACTCCTGTATTGTCAAACTATTGATGTTCAACTGCAGCGCTGCTTCCTCCTCCCTCATGATTTCCAAATTCCTGAATTGATCGTAGAACGATGGCAGGCCCAGAACTGGCTTCGCATAGTAGGCAGCCTCAATAACACTCATCATTCCGCAATGGCTTATAAAAAGCTTTACGTTTGGATGGGCCAAAATCGCTTGCTGTGGCAAAAGACTGGAGTGGTAGGTGTTACTGCCAAGACTCATCGTAGATTCACCATCGAACTTCCAAATCACACGCTGTGGTACCGATTTGAAGGTTTCCACCAGAATCTTCTGAGTTTTCATTGGTAAATCGTTGATATCCTGTTCCAGACCCAGTGAAAAGAAGATTACGCCATGTTCTGCCTCATCGATGAACACTTGCAGATCGCTGGGCAGCTGTGGATCCTCTTTGGGGATGTGAAAACCAGCCACTTCAACCATTCCCGGCACATTTGGCCTGGCCGGAAATATGCTAAAGTGTTGATTTAGCAGCATTAATGCGAAGTCTTGCCGGATCTCTAGGAAGCTCTTCTCCAGATGGCCGAAGAAGTGATCGTGGACAAGTCGTTGTTTCGGTAGAAATACCAAGTTCATCAGCAGCCACTCTTCGGAAGTGTAGAACCAGTTGTAGATGCGATCCCAAACGTTTTTCACAGATTTTATACCAAATGGCACTATAGGCTCTGTTAAAGTTGAGGTGGTATAACCCACCAGATTATTTATATTCCAGTCTGCTACGCACGTGGAAATTCCAATCAGTTGGGCATTGAAATGGGCGGCCATGCCGTAAAGCACGTCACTATATCCTGCTTCCAGAACGACAAGGTCAAATGTGATTCCCGATCGCATCAATGCTCGAACTTCCACGTTATTGAGTACATTGAGTGCGACATTAACCATGACTCTCGAAATTGCACCTATTTCTTCCCACTTACTGGAAGCTGAAGCGGTTACCATGGATTCCTCAAACTCTGCCGTAAATATACGAAATAAAATCAAAATAAGATTTCTGTTCCTAACTTAAATTTATAAAAAACTGCTCCCAATTGCACTTTTTCTTTCTAGTTAAGACTGCAATTTGATATTTTCACATTGGAATTCATTATCTTGCATCTGAGTGAAGTACATATAAGTACGAATAAACTAATCTAAGATAATGCATCAAAAAACAATTTAGATATAGTTTCTTACCTGCATAAGTGTTATTATTATTCCATATTCGTATGAAGGTCACGTTTTCGATTTGTTGCATGCAGTGCTTGTATGCATGTATCACCGTCATGTGGTGACCCCGATCCTTTAGAGCCTGTATATAGGGTGTCACCAGCATACATTGCGAGTGGGATTCAAAGGGGGCGATGATGAGGATTCGGGAACAACATATCCAACAGATCGAGTTTGAAATCAACCAAAACATCGGGAGAAGCCATCGCCCCGAAGGAAACATATCGATTGAGCGACCGATTGTAAACTGACTGACTGAAGAGATTTCCCGCCGAACTCTTGTGCATTTTCGCTCAATGTATTTGTTCACTGATTAGATTACACCGAAGAGCATTTATTTTGACCAAACCGAAGTAGTATCATTTTGTTCATCGGCATGTGCGGTCGAATTACGTGAGATGTTGAGCGGCCCGGGTATTGCTGGTGTACTGCTCACGATTCTGCTTTTGGGCCTTTTGTGTCCAAAGCTGACAAATGCGGAAAATATTTTGGCCGTGTTCTCATACACATTTGGCTCGTCCTACTTGCTGATTACTCCATATCTAAGGAATCTTATCCAACGGGGTCACCAGGTAACTTTGATATCGGCCGTTACGATTATGCCCCACATAGAGGGTGTCCATCACATCCGAGTGCCCAGATTGGATATGCTGATGGAAGGTAATGACCCTCAAAATAAGTATACAGTTCTATAGCTACATAGAACTGCTAAACAGAAAAAGTGCCTTACTTAATTATTGAAAATAATATCGCCCTATCAAAACAGCAACAACGAATTGTTATCGCAATGGTTCGCATTATCAATCTAATCATTTTACACTTCTTGCTTGCCTTTGCCAAATGTAAAATTTGTTAGCCTAGTTCAACTTTTTGTTAAATGTTAATTTTTAAATGCTAAAATGTTTTAAATGTTATTTTTGTTAGTTCAAAATTTTGGCATAAAGAGTACAAATAAATAAATAAACGAACAAATCAACTAGAAAACAATTATTTTGTGATTTCAGCACTCCTGGAATACGAATATGACGCTCATTTAACTAAATGGACGGAGGCTCAATTCGTGTCCGAATACTTTTACAATTGTTCAAAGTTCGTCCTCGAGGATCCTGGTGTGCAGCAGCTGCTCCACAACGCCAGTGCTCAGTATTCGATGATTATTTTGGAGGCGGCACACAACGATGCACTCTTCGGATTTTCGCAGCACTTTGATGCACCGCTGGTGGGGATTGCCGCATACGGATCGTCGTGGAACATAGACTTTCTGGTGGGGAACTCGGCGCCAAGTGTCTACGAACCGATGTCCGCCTTGGGCTACTCACCTGGCCATAGTTTGATGGAGAAGTGGCACAACCTGATCTTTATCACCGAGGAGCGTTTGGTGGAGCGCTTCATCTACCTGCCGCGCCAAATTGATCTGTATAGGCAACACTTCCCTGGGGTGACAGCCAGTATTCATGATCTGCGCCGCAGATTCTCATTGATTCTGATCAATCAGCATTTCAGCATGGGCCGAGTGCGCAGTAATGTGCCCAATATTGTGGAAGTGGCAGGTATGCATCTGGAGGAAACGTCACATCCCTTGGATGCTGAACTTCAAAAGATTTTGGATGAAGCCGAACATGGTGTTATATATTTTTCAATGGGCCTGCAAGTGGTGGATAACTGGTTGCCCCCAGGATTGCGAGCTACTATGTCGGATGTTTTTGCGCAGTTGAAACTACAAGTGATTTGGAAGAGTGACCATCCAGCGATGGTCAACCAATCAAGGAATGTCTTCTCTAGAACATGGCTTCCACAACGGGAGATCCTCAATCATCCTAATGTGAAGCTCTTTATTACCCATGCTGGTCTTTTGAGCCTTATCGAGGCAGTTCACTATGCGGTTCCCCTGCTATGTATACCTTTGTTTTACGATCAGTTTCAAAACACCAAGCGAATGGAGAAGTTGGGCGTGGCCAGAACATTGGATCATAAAAACCTTTCCCGGGACGAAATTGTCTTGATCATTGAGGATCTCGTGCACAATGCTAGTTATAAAGAAAATGCCAGGGATTTATCGAAACGATTTCATGACCAACCAATGTCGGCCATGAATACCGCGATTTGGTGGACTGAGTATATCCTGCGGCACAAAGGAGCCGATCACATGAGAATCGCCGAGCAGGAAATGTCCTTTATGCAATACTATAACGTTGATGTTGTTTCTGTTCTCTTCGGTAGAATCGGATTAAGTGTTATTATAGTTATCTTTCTCGGCTGGAAACTAGTCTTATTGGCAAGAAGAAACCTTGAGTTTCGCTTTAATGTGCCCATGGTGAGATAAAGTAAATTATTCCTGGCAACAGCAAAATCCAAGACAAAGTCAAGCGGCCAACTTTTGTTTTAGAAAGTGTGTTAGGTAAAGGTGTTATGTGTCATTGTAGCATTATATATATGTAGTATATATAACAAAATAGTTTTAAGTAAAAAGCTTTATTTAATGATTCACCTATGAACATAATTTATAACTTTACAATAGCTCAATCTACAATAGTAACTCAAAATAGGTGTATTTATTGTAAATGCTTTTTTCGCATTGATAACGAGTTATCTAATCAGTCTGTAAAATGACCGTGTAGGCGCCAAAGAAAATCATTCAACTTGAATTTAAACTTAAAATA